AATTGTAATTAATATTTACACCTAATTCAGTCACAATTTTTTGCATCCTCTAATACTTGTAGCTCCCTCTATTAGTATTATTTTCATCAATCTTAACAGGCTACTCAACTTAAGTTCAACTAAATATTAGCGACTTAATCGAATCATGTAAATTTCAATGTAATGTTTATAATTTTGTATGAAATTTCAAACCAGAATAGCATCTAAATCTATTGTCCCACTACAGTTGTTACTTGGGGACAATTACTATTAGTATTATGTGTGCGCAGACGCAATCTAGAGGATAGTTTGGCTGGACCTGTGTGCAATACACATACAAGTAATCGTGTTTATATGTAGATAATCGAGAGTGAAACTTGACACGGATTCTCAACACGTGATCTTGTGGTTTATTTGACACAAAATGGTGATGGCGACCGATGTAAGTGTTTCCTGGTTGTTGTTGTTTTTGTCCAACGTAATCATAGTCTTAGCTTTATACTAAATTAGCAATCGTTCTTTTAGTATGTTATCACAATAATCGAATGATACGTTTTAATTGACTGCACGGTTGATGCTGTAACTGGGCAACTGGCTGCCGCGCAACGTGTCGCGGCTTCGGTTCCCGCACGGAGCAACCTCTTTGTGTGATCCACAGACTGTTGTTTCAGATCTGGGTGTCATGTGTACGTGAACTTGTATGTTTGTAAACGCACCCACTAAAACGACCATACAGGAGAAAATCCCAGAGTGGGGCAAAGTTTTGAAACAAAAAAATATTTGTTTCTTATTACGTTATGAACATCTAAAACAATCGTTAAATAGGCTTCTGATCTAACTGATCAGAAGCCTCAAAAATCTGGTTACATGACTAACTACGAATATCTTGTAATCTCCTTTTCGTAGACGGCCAGTGGAAGTCCCTCTATGTAAACTCTACATACAGTATATAGACCAAAACCCTTTTCAAACAGAACTTCAAAGGCCTTATGAAAATAATATCAACAGCAATGCAAATCAAACAGAGATCCCTCCTATTCTCTCCAAGCGGATAAAAATCATCAGTTATATCGGTATAACTTCTACGTACGAAGGGCAGAGGATGGTGGTAATAACGCAAGTGATTTATCAGCAGCAAATAATTACAGCTAAAGTAATATCCTGTAGTCAACTATATCCGATCTAGGATTTCTTTTGTTTCATCTAAGGTGAAATCTCTTCAATGAAACACACATACTTCGGTGAACAGTGGACATTCTGTAATGAAATCACTTAAAATTTCAGGCCTGTAGTAGGTACCTACTCCTTGTTTACAGGGGCCCGGGAGTAACGTGCAGAGGTCGTTTAGGTGTTAGCCCAATACCAAAACTGTTCAAAGAGTGGGATCACAACTCTACCACCTTCTTATAGTTAATAGTTTGTGCAACAATTCTCGTCTGTCATTGGTCGAGATTAATCTCACAACAATAAAAATGACACGGTGGATTGCGACTTAGCTAACTCTCGAAGAGTTCGAAGTGACATCTTACAGAATAGTCTAGCTGAGTTCCATCTACCAGAGTGAACCCATTTATGTACTGCATTAAGATTATCGAAATTCAAAAAGTTTAATTTGTCCTAGGATGTATTGCTCATCAGTCGTGCTTGCAACCATCTATCTAACAAGGCACTCAGAGTTAGTATAAGGTCGTTAGACTAAACTGAGCTTTACGTTGCGGTTATAAAGTAAGTGCAGGCAAATAAATTGAAGAACCTATGCAAACCAAGTTCCTGACGTCACATCGGGCTCACCACCATACGTGGCCCGCGACTGCTGCGATCGGCGGTCATGCATTCACTCGCTCGCCCGGCACGACGCCGTGCGCACATATCGGTTGACCCTAACAATCAGTACCTATTTAAATACAGTCTTCTCATCATACCGAAGTCTTTTATTATTCAAGACCACCAGCAGCACACCTGGAGCTTGATATTCAAACATTGGTCCTTCGAATCAAGGGAATCGCCGTCTTATTAAGCTGCGCATGCCTTCTGTGGACTTTGGACTGGCCGTCCGGACGCGTGGTCGCTGCAACGTGGAAGACACAGAACGACGACGTAACGAACAGTCTACCCAGAGGGTCATAATTCTGAGTGAGTCCGTTCCATTTATCCCTATTTCCTGTGTTTTGCCTATTTCCATTCCAAGGATTTAAATAGTGCTATACGGATCAGGCATGGATTGATCTCTTCATAGTTATAGCTTATTCAGTACATACATAGCCAAAGTAACAGTAATTAAAAATCATCCATCATCACAAATCACGTTTACAATTTATCTAAAAATCATATTGCATCGAACAATCTTTGCTATAAAGTACCTATAGATATTTCTTTTGTTCGCTTATCGCATGCTTGAACATCTGGTTCTTTAAACTGGAAAAACAACTTTAATATTTTATACAAACTGTTTTTATTGAATGCATATTAGCTAAATCAGCTGTTATTTATCTTCGTCAACTATTGACGTATACTAGTACAGGTACTCGTCACTTGCTTACGTTATTGTTTCTTTGCCTTTTTTTGTAATTTTAACTCTTTGCTTCATCTTAAACACCTTTCTGCTTACTCAGTATGTCCGATGCAAAGGTTAAGGAGCTGATAAAGAAGCGTGGCAGCTTCAAAGCCAAGCTTACACATTTTAGTAACTTTTTAAAATTTCTGCCTGACACGGAGTTAGACAGTTTTCAAACAGCAGAGCTACAAAGCCGTCTTAGCCTAATGCAAATACTTTATAAGGAGTATGACGTGTTACAGACCGAGCTGGAAATATTGTCGGAGAACGCCGACGACATGTATGCCGAAAGGGAGCAGTTCGAGGCGCAGTTCCATGCGCACGTGGCGCGCGCGCAAACCATTCTGGTTCCTGTGCGTGCATCTTCGCCTGCACTCGAGTCTGCCATTTCCACTGACGCTCTTCAGCACCGCGGACCTGACTGCAGGCACGACTTTGTTCGTCTGCCTAAGATAGACTTGCCTCATTTCGACGGGGACTATCAGCACTGGCTCGAATTTAGAGATACGTATATTTCCCTAATCCATGTTAATTCCAGCATACAAAAAATAAACAAATTCCATTATTTACGTGCAGCCCTAAAAGGTAGTGCATCTTTAATTATAAAAAGCATTGATTTTAAAGCTGATAATTATGATTTGGCATGGCAATTGTTGATCGAAAGATACAATAATGAAAAAATACTTATAAATAATCACGTGCAGGCATTATTTAAATTTGAACATATAAAACAAGAATCTTGTAGTCAATTGCGCAACATGATTGATGTAACTAATAAAAACATACGTGCTTTGTTAACATTAGGGCAGTCTTGTGAGCATGGGGGTCTTGGAGAAACCCTTACAATTTATATTATGTCAGAAAAACTTGACAGAGCCACACGCAGGGAATGGGAGGAATATAAAAATAATTTAGATTCATTTCCAACTTTAAAGGAATATATTAAATTTTTAAATAACAGAGCTGACTTTTTGGACTCCTTAAATTACAACAGAAACACCACATTTTCAAATAATACAAACACTAAATATTCTAACGACTACAATAAATCAAAAACATATCATACAATAATAACAAAACCTAAACCTACTTACAATAAGGACGACATTAAATGTCCAGCATGCTCTCAAAATCATTTTTTATTTAGCTGTCAAACATTCAGAAACTTAGATATTGAATCAAGATTTAAAAAGGCGATAGAAAGCAATGTTTGTTTAAATTGCCTTCGACCTGGTCATACAGCGAAGCGTTGCAGTTTATCACATTGCAAATATTGTAAAGTGAAACACAATACCCTTTTACACAAGGATTCATCTACAGAACAACAGGCAGGACACAGTGTTGCGTTATCTACCAATGTTACTTTACCCTACTCAGATACTAATAACTTTACAATTTTACTATCCACAGCCTTGGCAAAGGTGTCCGATGTCAATGGTGAACTTCATACTGTCAGACTCCTGTTGGACAACGGCAGCACCTCAAACTTCGTGACCCGAGAGCTCTGTGAGAAACTTGGCCTGGTAACGTACAGCACTAACTCCACTGTCTCAGGTATTAACGGTCAAGTTTCTAGTACCTCAGAAAGCTGCAATCTTATTTTGCAATCTTGTTACGGTAGTTATCAGGCGAGGGTAAGCTGTTACATCCTGCCAAAGATTACGCAATCGCTGCCGGGTTCATATGTCGATAAGAGATATATTGCCATACCGCCAGGTATTCAACTAGCAGATCCTACTTATAACATTCCCGCTGCTATTGACATCCTCGTAGGCGCTGAGGTATTTTGGGACGTCATAGGTTCCAATACCATTAATTTAGGCAATAAACAACCTAAATTACAATCATCCAAACTCGGTTGGCTTATTTCGGGCTACGTTAGTCAGCTTCGTGTTCGTTCACAACCTTCTGTTTGTCATTTCCTTTCACATGAGGAGTCTGACCAGCTGACTCGCTTCTGGGAACTTGATACTGTGTCGTCTGCTAGCTGCTTCTCTGCAGAAGAGCAAGCTTGTGAAAAGCTCTTTTCCGAGACCACACGTCGGGACCCAAATGGTCAATTCGTTGTCACTATACCTTTAAAGGACTCGCCCGAGTGCTTAGGTGACTCGTATGCAATGGCCAAGCGTCGTTTCCTTTCCCTAGAGCGAAGATTTGAGCGGGACTCGACATTTAAAAACAGATACTTACAATTCATGCAAGAATATATTGATCTTCATCATATGACACAATATTCAAAACCAATTCATTCAGAAACCCATTACTTTTTGCCTCATCACGGGGTCGTACGGGAGTCAAGTACTACGACAAAGCTTCGTGTCGTCTTTGATGCTTCTGCCTCCAGTACCTCGGGCAAGTCTTTTAATGATATTCAGATGGTGGGTCCAACCGTACAGGAGGATCTACTGTCTATACTTTTAAGATACAGACAACACAAGTATGTCGTAACGGGCGACATAGAAAAAATGTATCGAGCTATTTTAGTGGAACCATCTCAACGCCCATTGCAACAAATTGTTTTCAGATCAAATTCATCAGACCCTTTAAAAACGTATGCACTAAATACAGTGACGTACGGTACAGCATCAGCCCCATACTTGGCCACTAAATGTCTTGTGTCTCTTGCAGATCAATGTTCAGATCCAGAAGTTAGTCAGTCTATCAGACGTGATTTTTATGTCGACGACTATCTTAGTGGCGCAGATTCAATCGAAGCAGTCACACGCGTATGTCAAGGAGTAGTTAAAGCTCTTGAATCTGCTCGCTTTCATCTTAGGAAATGGCAATCAAACAATCCAGAAATATTAAAATGCGTCACAAATATCAACACATATAGCAGTGATAAACAATTAATCTTAAGTGATACTTGCCACAAGACACTTGGGTTATATTGGAACTGCAATACAGACAAATTATTTTATTTTATCGATGTAAAACCAATTACAAAAATCACAAAGCGTAATATTTTATCTTTAATTAGCCAAGTGTTTGATCCTCTAGGTCTAGTTGGACCATGCATAGTTCAGGTCAAACTTATATTACAGCAGCTTTGGATACTTAAATGTAATTGGGATGATGAAGTTCCTCCAGAAATAAAATCACAATTTCTTGAATTCATACAATCACTTTCAGCACTTAACTCTCTTTACATTCCTCGTTGGGTATCGTGTAATCATGCTAGATCACTAGAATTACATACGTTTACAGACGCCTCCGAACGTGCTTATGGCGCATGTATCTACATGAGAACGATAACAGTCGATGGAATAGTTTGCGTTCGCCTGTTAGCTTCAAAGAACCGGGTAGCCCCTATAAAACCCACAACTATACCAAGATTAGAGTTGTGTGGTGCTTTATTGGGTACAAGACTTTTTCTGAAGGTACGTAAATCACTTACTCTAAAATTTCATCATTGTTATTTTTGGTGCGATTCAACGATCGTTCTAGGATGGCTGAAAACATTGCCAAGTCGCCTCGAACAATTTGTTCGCAATAGAGTGAGTGAAATCCAAGAAGCTACGAACGGCCAGACATGGAATTATGTGCCATCTAAAAGCAACCCCGCCGATCTCGCTTCTCGGGGGGTGAAGGCTGATTGCATCAGCTCATCCACTCTTTGGTGGTCAGGCCCTGATTTCATTAATCAAAGTGAGATTCAATTTCCTACTTTACAAAATAATAATACGCATTTATTACCAGAATTAACGTTACACACAACAGCTGACATGCATAACATAACTAACATTAATTTAATTTCCAGTTTAATTCATAATAAATCTTCATTTACGTTATTGATCAGAGTAGTGGCCTATATAAAAAGATTTATAAATAATTGTAAAAAACCGAATAATAAACAATCATCTTACCTAACAGTATCAGAGTTAAAATCATCACAAAATCTTTTATTACATATTTCCCAGCAGGAAATGTTCCCTGAGGAATATACATGTCTTAAATCTAATCAGCCCTTACATAAAAAGAATCGATTAATAAGTCTTTCTCCATTCATTGATTCAGACAATCTAATACGCGTTGGTGGACGTCTTAACAATTCACATTACAGCTACGATGTTAAACATCCTATACTATTATGTAGCAAACATCATATAACACAACTTATATTTGAAAACGAACACATTGTACTGTTTCATGCAGGGCCTCAATTACTCTTAGCTCACATAAGACTGTCTTACTGGCCTCTGGCGGGCAGGAACTTAGCCAAGCATATAGTGCGTAAGTGTGTTCGTTGTACTCGGATCAAGGCTCAGCCTGTACAGATTGTCATGGGCGACCTGCCACAGGATAGAACCCATCTCGAGTATCCCTTCTTGAACACAGGTCTTGACTACGCCGGGCCAGTGCTGATAGCCAATCGTAGGGGTAGAGGATGTCAGTTACTTAAATCTTATATTTGTGTGTTTGTGTGCTTTGCAGTCAGAGCCGTTCATTTGGAGCTGGTTTCCGACCTGACCAAGGAGGCTTTTCTTGCGGCCTTCAGCCGATTCATTAGCCGTCGTGGGAAGCCTCAGCGCGTGTACTCCGACAATGGCACAACATTTGTGGGAGCTTTCAATGAGCTGTCACGTTTCTTTGAGGTTTCATCAAAAGACATAGAATCAGACCTTGCAAACAAAGGCATCGAATTTAAATTTATACCAGCCTACAGCCCACATTTTGGTGGCATTTGGGAGGCAGCAGTAAAATCCACAAAACATTTACTTCGTAGAGTCATGAGCTTAACTCACCTTACTTATGAGGAGCTCTCTACTTGTCTGGTTCAGATAGAGGCTATATTAAATTCCAGACCCTTAACTCCTCTATCCTCTGATCCTTCTGATCTATCTTATCTTTCTCCTTCCCATTTCCTTATCGGACGGCCACTCACTTCAGTCCCTCGTCCATTATTGACTGACGCCAACATCCAGCGACTGCAGCGTTTCGATCGCGTTGAGAAACTGAGACAACATTTTTGGAAACGCTTTTGTAATGAGTATGTGTCTCTTCTGCAGCAGAAAACCAAATGGCAAACAGCTGGACAAGACCTGAAGACTGGCACCATGGTCTTAGTGAGGGATGCCAATCTCCCTCCTCTTCTCTGGCTGCTGGGCAGAGTAGTAGCAGTTAAAACTGGCTCGGACGGACATTGTCGAGTCGCTGACGTTCGTACGAGGAAAGGCATCATCACACGTGCCTACAACAACATCTGCCCTCTTCCGGTGGCGTAACATGAACTTGAAGCCTTCTCTTCAACCCGGGGAGTATGTTCCTGACGTCACATCGGGCTCACCACCATACGTGGCCCGCGACTGCTGCGATCGGCGGTCATGCATTCACTCGCTCGCCCGGCACGACGCCGTGCGCACATATCGGTTGACCCTAACAATCAGTACCTATTTAAATACAGTCTTCTCATCATACCGAAGTCTTTTATTATTCAAGACCACCAGCAGCACACCTGGAGCTTGATATTCAAACACATAGGTTAAGCAAGAATATACAACCTTCGAAATAAAACTCATTGGACAAAAAAAGAATAGTTGATCCATCAATATAATGATCAGGTGAATGGTCTACCAATTTCGTTGGCTACAATGTGTGTAAGAGTTAGATAAAATCAAATTGCTATTGCCGCAATGTCTAAATACTCGTTTGAATCTACCTACTTACGATTGAAATTGCTTATTCGTTGTCAAAACGTAAACAAAAAAAACAAGAATAAATCTAAAGGAACCTTGACCGAGAAATCCCCTAGCTATCGGTCATCACTTTCATGTGTGGGCCATTTAACTTTCACTTTATTGTGTTGACCCTCCTCTTTATTCCATTTTAAACATGTCTATGTGTCTAGGTTACTACCTCTAGAAAATAGCTAGGTATCAACTCGACTATAAAAATGAAATAATGATGATGAATCCAGTATTACAAAAGATAATTTTGTTTCAACTTAATTTGATTATTTCTTGAGGTCATTAAGGTTGTCTTCAAAATTTAAAAAGATTTGATTCCTTGATTTTGACATTCATCTGCAATTACTAATATCGAAGTGATGTCTACCTTAAAGCGCAGACCACTACGTAGGTGACTAATATAACCATGGATATAACAATGGTAATAAAGGTAATCTCAAATATCGTTCCTCGATATATTTGTTTGTCAATATTTGAGGCTCGAGGTCTTCCGCCCATTCAAAGTAACCTAGAAACAGGTATGCACTTATTCCAACGTCACACGGCAAGGCACGGGAAAAGCGCCGGATTTACCGTTATCGGAGAAAGCCGGAGAGTAGAGCAGCGCAGTCAGTGGCCGGCGCACGCGCATACTATACGCACTGCGCGGGATTATTGTGATTAATTGTTTATTTTAGTTCGATACTGGTTCATGTTCAGTGGATTCTAGTGAAAAATACGGTATGTGTGTTTTTTTTGCCTTGTTTATTTGTTTTAACAATACCTAACTACATATTTTATTTTGAGACTATAATATTTTTATTAATGTAAAGGGTTCTTGAACCTTTTTATTTAATGTTAACGACTGCAAAAACTTAAGATGTTTTATTAAAATATCAGATGGGCACTAATTTATAAGGTCGATGATCTTGTGTTCGATGCCCTTGAGGTCCCTCGGGTACTTTTTACCTCAAAACTAATTAGCAATTTTTTTTCAAATTTTAAGTATTTTTCAGGTAAACATTTTTAGGTAGGTGCGTATGTTGAGACTTTTTATTCCAATAAAATTAATATAATTGAAAAATCTTTCGATTTCGTGTACTAGTAATTTGAGTCAAATCATTTAGTAACTGAAATGAAAGATCCAAAATGTATAGATACATAAAGTTTCAAACATTTCACACATTCATGGCGATTTAGAAATCGTAAACACAATGCCTATAGATAGATATATTCCCAAAACGACTTTCATCAGAATCTACTTTCTCAAACTTGTTTATTTAAAGACTTGAGTCATCTTATTTGTTTTGTTATCTTGGTTAATAAGTATGTGGGTTCGGTTTTTTATTTTGAATAATTAACCTACTAACGGCAAAACTTCTTAGGTACAGAAGGGCCAAAAGTTTAGCAGTGAACTGCTATGGGCTTTTGATGATCATGACAGACTAGTTTCATTCAAAAGAAGGTAGGCCATAATCATAAGTAATACAGAATATTGACCAGTGTGCTCAAAATATTTGAAAATTAAAATTCAGAAATACAATTAAATATTTTATTGAATTTTAAAATAATAACAGCAACGGCAGATTCACTTAATAATTAAATAAGAAATTATGTGATTTATTATTACATTTTTACGTTCTATTGACCAATTATTTAACCTAAATCTTTATATTAGTAAAATTCATACCAAAATAGGTACCTGCATATTATACATATGACAGCTGATCAAGTTGACCCAATCTGCAAAACAAACCAGAATTGGCTTTCAACCTTATAATTTAGAAAATCACTACAACATAGTATAAAACAAAGTCGTTATCCGACGTCTGTCTGTCCCTATGTATGCTATATGTATATGTATGTTTTTTTTAAGGGAGGAAAATCATCAAATGACTGCTCCCGCCTGGGTGAGGCGGGAGGGAGTGTCAGACTCTTACTGACTAAAAACCACCCCGTTCCTTCTCCTGCACGTCGAGCCGGAGCCCCCGTTACCCGTTAGGTTCTGACTTAATTTAAAACTACGCAACGGATGCTGTTTTTTTTAATAAATATAGTGATTCTTGAAAAATGTTTATATGTATAATACATGTATATTGCACCCGTGCGAAACCGGGGCGGGTCGCTAGTATATTATAGAACCCATTTAAAAATACTTGGGTAACCTAGTATCTACATGTCTTGTTGTTATACTATCTGATACTGTAACCGCATCTCATTTGCCAAGATACATACTTCACGGACTGTTTAACTTTATTACCTTAATAGCTAGGTACAAACAGTACACAGCATGAACACGATTGAAAATTATACATACCTATTTAACTCGGCGAGTACCGTCATTGTAGACACAATTATAGAACAATAGGTTGCGGTCACCGGTGACCGCTTGGTGTTTGACAGTTTAATAACAACTCAATAGTACTTTATGGAAGAAACAAAATGTAGATACAGGTACCAGTTGATCCCGGAGCTGCGGACAACCTAACGGATTACCGAGGCTTTAATCTGTTCTTTTTTGTAATCGGTTAATGGTACTAAAACCCTCTTCGAAGTATAACGAACACTTATCTGAAAACCAAATCGAAATCGGTTTAGCCAATCGCAAGATAATCGCGCACTAAGAACCTCCTTTTTTATTTCTGTTAAAAATAATATTATTATTCCAAGGCCCACTCACTCTAAAATTTGCGATTAACACCAGGAAACATTAATGTTATGCATTTATTATCCCAGTTGTTTTTTTAAAACCCTTCCAAAAAGTTTGATTTTTAATAACCTTGATAAAATAAAAAAGACACCTCGCTGGTTTAGATTCCGGGTTTGACTACAGCATCGAGTTAAGTATTGCCGGTCTCTTTATTTTTATATTCTTAAAAGCCCAGACCGAAAAGAGTGGTTGTTGTACGGTAAGGTTGTTGGTTACGTTTATAAACACCAACAACTTAATCATTTTTGTTCTATTACAAAAATACAGTCGAATTGAGAACCTCCTCCCTTTTTTTGAAGTCGGTTGAAATTGTGGTACAAGTCGACTTGGAACCAAGAAAAAGTTGTCCTTATAACTATAAAACCTTTAGTAAGCAAAACCGCATATAACTAGGCTATTCTGTAAGATATCAATTCGAACTCTCGAAGTGAGCTCGATCGCGGTCCGCCATGATATTGGTTGTGAGAATAATCTCGACCAATGACGTGCGAGAATGCGATCGAGTTCACTTAGAGATTACAAATTGACATACTACAGAATAACCTAGCAGATATAGGCCAAGACTCAAATAACGCCGAACCACACAATTTAGCCAACTACTTAAATACATAGCTAGGTACTACATAATTCTAAACCAATTTTGTTGACAATCAACTCACACTCACGTACCTATTGCACAAGCTGTGTGACAATACAATTACCCCTAAGAACGTTATAATCCCCAGTGGATGGAATAGAAACCGACTGTCGGTCTGTCATTAAAACAAAGTGTCCACAAACCGCAACTCGACTTGTATCCGTTCACCATACACCGTAATCATTGTAAATTAGTTTTGCGAAACTTTGAAGAAACTATCCGCGGTAGCGTGCGTTCTTGACTTTAATAATGGAGGGTGTAATGATGAGCCGAGATTATAGTTGTGTACAATACTAAAACTTATTATAAGTTTTATTACCAAAGGTTGTCTTTAAAGAATCTATATAAGTTACTTAACCTGTCGGTTACTAACCCTGTATATTTATTTTAATGATTTGTGTATTTTGAGATGATTTAATTAAAAAATATCGTGGCCTTTTAATGGGACAAGCCCGCCACAACCTCCCAAAATCGCTACAATTCCTGTAAGCCAGGATCTACAGTAGATATAGTTGGTCGAGTTATGTATCACTTTTTACGTATTTCAATAAGTATCCTTCGATTTCTAATACTTGTAATTAATAATGATATATTTTATAAGTAACCGACAGCACTGAAAATGAATGTAAGTGAGTACATAATGTATTGATAATCAGTTTATTATTCAAACTAGGTATAGGTAACTACGTATAATATAAATTGCAGCACAATAACGCCACGAGGGACCTTACTACGAATATTTGTAGTGAATACTAGCTGTTACCCGCGACTTCGTCCGCGTGAAATAGCGACTTCTGTATAAATTGGGTTTTTAAATTAGTCTTTGTCAAGGTATATTCTACGGCTGTACAACTGGAACAAATATCATCACAATCGATTCATACCTAGGTTATATTTATTGAGAAATGAATTTATTTTCGTGGTTTCTAAAATAAACAATCTCATAGAGGTTTTACCCGTACAGTGCCCGTCTCGTGAGGTTTCACTATTCTATGTTTGCAAATCAATGTTGTATCGCATTTCAATCAAATAGATATAGTGATTTTAACAGCACAGTTCCCGGTTTCGTGGGTTTTTCGGGTTAAAAACTTTTAGATGTCCTTTCCCGGGTCTCAAACTATCGCTGTACCGAATTTCACCAAATAGGTTCAATGGTTTAAAAGGTAAGAGCCCCTCTTTATTTCAACGTCCTTAGTCCTGGTTTTTTAGCGCATAGTTTCCGTCATTTTGGGATTTCCTCTCTCCTATAATGTGACCTGATATGTACCGGTACGACATGCGTTACTATCGCAAACATTTAAATGAAAAAATAGGTATTCTGATATTAGGTTAGTTACATATGATACATGGACTTTAATGTTGATATTAATGTCCTCTATAAGACTTAATACACCCCTTTGGCTCTATTGTCCATAATTTCCACAGCGTAATCAATACCAATAATATAAGGAGTTTTTTTGGTGGTTTTTTACACATCGGGTTGTCATTACCTAAAGGAGATTTTTTTTGAGGTCGGAAAATCATCCAATCACTTCTCCCGCCTTGGGTTAGGTGAGAGGGAGTGACAGATTCTTACTGACTAAAATCCACTCCGTTCCTACTCCTGCTCGTCGAGCCGGAGCCCCGTCAACTCGTTAGGCCTCCCGCGGCACCGTATCGAGCATCAGCCCTACTGGGCTCCATCTATGATGGTGTCATGGCTCTGTAAGGCGCGCGCAGTATGCACGGGACTGGTTCTGGTCGGGTGGCGAGCTACCCTTGCTCTTCGTCTACAGACCCGCACTTACGGTGGCCTGTGGTCGGCCGATCTCCGACGCCCAGAGTGTCTCCCGCGACGGCTGGGGCGTGAGGAAGTTCGTTCCCTCACGCGCTCCGCTTTCTCCTTGGCAAGCATAACTGCTTCGCAGAATGATGCGACTGCATCCCAATCCCCCTCGCTCCATGGCCTGAACCAGAGCCGAACGCGAGAGGTCACCGTTTCCTACATCCCTGAGAACACGGCGGTGCTCAGCCCATGCAAGGTACACCGCCACGATATGCTCCACCGTGTTCTCCGGGCGGTCCTCGCATTGATGGCCTCTCTAAAGCCACTTTTAAAGAGGGGACTTTCCGCTGCAATGACAGCGAGCCCAGCCCTCGGTTACCTAAAGGAGTGTTTCGCTGTGTAAGTGAGGTTACCGGAGGCCCAATTACCCCTCCCTCAGCCCCCCCAATCCCTGACAATCCTCAAATTACCAATTCCCAAAAGACCGGTAACGCACTTCTAGCACTTCTGGTGTTACAGGTGTCCATGGGCGGCGCAGATTGCTTACCATCAGGTGATCCGTCTGCTCGTTTACCGGCTTATGCCATAAAAAAACAGCAAACTATCATAGTGAATTTGGCCTTGACGGTCTAAAATGAAAAGGACTAATATTATTTTTTAGCTATGTGCATTTAGCTAGTTTTTTTGATATACATATAAAAAATACGAATTCAAGTAAACTGAAAATATTTTATTCGTGGTTTTATCTCCTTAGACTGCTGTCAACCTCTTTGCATACCTTAATATTAATACCATAGTATAAAAAAAATCTATGACACATTGACTTTGTAAACTCACTTGTCACACAAATCTCAGATGACTTAAGAAATGTAGAGGTATACTAATAATATAAATTTGTATGTGCTTGTTTGTTTGTTTGTCCGTATTTCACGACAGAACGGAGTCAGGAAGGTTTTTGATTTGAGATAGTTGAAAAGATGGAGAGTATCATAGGCTACTTTTTGTCTTTTTCTAACCCCCTTCCACTTCCGTGAAACAGAGGTGAAAGTTTGTATGGGGTATTTTGCAATTTTCAATGTGGAAAGCTAACAATTGGTATGCGGGTTATTTGTGACCAGCATAGAATCGTGCATCATTTCATTTTTTTATTGTAAATCCTTCCCTCACCCCATTAAAAGAACGCGAGAGAAGCCGCAGACAGAGGCTAGTCTATGAATAAATTGTATTCAGTCAATTGAATTCGTATTTTGTCTTTAAAATCTCTGATGCAGCTGAATACTAATATTATTCCTTGAAAACCCACAGAACTTGATTTTTATATGTTGATGCCAAAATATATTATGGAAGTAGGACGCCATAACAATTACAAATCATCAGGTTGGTTACCATAGTAATGTTACCTGTCAGATATCCGTTTTCAGGTTTTCAGATAAATCGTAATAAATAATTTGAACTTTATGCAGCGGTAATAAATTACAAATTGACTCTCCATTTTATTTAGAAAACGTTTGTATGGGAAATAGAAAAATGCTGTTTTGAGGACTTTCCCGGCAATTATTCGAATTTTTCTCACCTTTTAAACCTTCCCTAGACCTCCACGAATAGTTCAAGACCAAGATAAGATAAATCCGTTCAGCCGTTCTCGAGTTTTAGCGAGACTAACGAACAGCAATTGATTTTTATATATATAGATAAATAGAGTTAAATCGGCTCTGTAATAGCTATCAACATTGCCTAGTAATTCGGCAGCAAATGATCCAACAGGCCAAATTCAATTACGCATGATGTTAAGGGCCTGCGAAACGAGGGATTTTGGTCTGCGTAGGTCTTAAAGATTAAGAGACTTATGGAGAGTACTAATTGCTTTCATATCTTCTGTAGTTGTTAAATAAGCATCCTTGAAAAGATGAAGAATTAATTAAATTTTTTGTCTTAATTAAATGTTAATTTCAATTCGGTAATTCGATTATCTGTTCTGACATGTAGGAATTTATGACGAATTCGTCCATTTGTGCAGTTGACAGCTTAGGCTGCTCTGATTTGCACGAAAATATCAGAAAATATTTATTTCGTGCTTTCTTCTTCTAATGAATTTATTGTTAACAGAAAATTCACCAGATAAAGTTAATATAATATATTAGAATTTATTTTATGGACCTAAGAATGATTCATTAGCATTAGTTATTTTCTCTAGTAGAAGTAGATCAGTAGTAACAGTACCTACTCATTCCTTCTTTACCTTGTTACAGGAACCAAAAATGTTGGAAGGAACGAAAATCAACTCTCCGTCACAAATGGCGAGCGTTTTCGACATCGCCAAGGACACAGTGCTGTTCCTAGTGCTATCCTGCTATTACATCCTGGAGTCCCTATTCTGGACCTTAGTGCCTAACGCAATAAGACCTATGAAGAGCCTCAAGGGTGATGTGGTGTTGGTAACTGGAGGTGGTGGCGGTGTTGGTCGCCAACTCGCCGTTAAATTGGCTAGGCTTGGAGCCAAGGTCGTAGTTTGGGACATCAGCAAAGAAGGTTGGTTCTATGATCAATTTGGTTTCCTTTTTAGGTGTACGAGTAGGTCGAGGACAACGTTAGACTGGTTTCCTTTTAGGCAAGATTATGCGGCTACTGGCAGTAAGTTGTACGATATTTACTGTCTCGGTAAATTATATGTTTGTACCTAATTCTATACTATAGGTACATACCTATCTACACTGCAGTACATAAAACAATAACATTATTTGTTACATGTGCTTAAACAATGTAGGTAGGTATATCGTTAGGTACGTCCTGCGTATGTTTGAGAAACAATGTATTTTATTATGACGTAAATTACGCTCTATTAAATTATACTTAGGTAGATTTAGTAAGTCAATTAGAATAGGTACTTATGTACCTATGTCCTTGATTATAGTTAGGTTCTTATAGTATAGATGTCACCTAATTAGAAAATTGCATAAGTTAATCCACTTAAATCCAACAAACATTGTACTTCATTATTTATAGAGTATATCTACCTACTTATCTATTATTTACAAGTTTTTGTTGATTTTTTTTAACCGACCAGACTCGATACTATCACTACTACTTACTACTACTCTGTCTCATTATATGGTACTTATAAATAAGTAATATTAATAAATAATCAATTAATTCCTTTCCAGGTTTACAAAAGACTTGCGCGGCGGTCATTGATGAAGGCTACGAAATCGCGAGCTACGTCGTAGACCTTGCGGATCGTAGCGCTGTCTACGCAGCCGCCGAGAAAGTCAAAAAAGAGGTAGGTAACTGTTGTTTTACTTTTTGTTTACAGAAGTGTCAGCAAATGTAATAAATTGTTAATTCATTTTAAGCAGCTACTTGCATTGTGTTCTACATGGTTCGAGGGAAGCGTAGTTTCGTTAATCGCCTAAAACTCCTGGAACCAAACAGATTTTTTTTTGTTTTTTTTTTTTTTTTTGATAGCTAAATAGAAAAAAAATACAACATAAATGAATGTTTAATGTTTTTTATGCAGGAATACGTACATCTATGTAAACAAAAATGAATTTCTGTTCGTTAGTCTCGCTAAAACACGAGAACGGTTGAACTGATTTGGCTAATTTTGGTCTTGATAGATTCGTGGAAGTCTAGGGAAGGTTTAAAAGGTGAGAAAAAACTTTTAGGCGGTACGAAGTTTGCCGGGTCAGCTAGTATAGAATATAAGAAGTAAAGTAATGAGTTCAGTTAATATGACTTGGGTGTCTTCAAGTCCCGAGTGATCAGGTTGCTCATAGGTAGGCGTGCTCCATCGTCGGCCACATCATGCGCTTACCATCAGGCGAGATGGTGGTCAAACGTCGACCTATAGTGTATAAAAAAAAAAAAAAGTTATGGAATAAATCGATCAGGATTGTTTTCTCTATTCCAGGTCGGCAAAGTAGACGTGTTGATCAACAACGCAGGCACGGTGTTCGGTGAAACACTGCTGGACCTCTCGGACTCGGCTATAGAAACCACGTACAAAGTCAACATCCTCTCACATTATTGGGTCAGTTTTGTTTAACATTGTGTTATTAATTAGTACCTTATTAAAGTACAATATCAACAGACTGATATAATCCACTGCAGGACAATAGGTAGACAACATTTTGCCATAATCTACATCTACACCTTTGGCACGCTCTAACTGATCGCTATTTAAAAGGGTATAGTTCACAGAGTGCTGCTACCCGGTTTCTGTCAAATATGTAGTCCCTTCACCAGCTTTTTCCAAACCTGCAATTAAGTTAGTGGGGACAAAAATGTATTTTATACTCTGACGTCATTGCTAAGAGACAACACTATAGGTACCTTCTGTCTACTTGTCTAGGTCTAACTAACTAAACCCATTTCACGTTTTCATTCCAGACCGTAAAAGCATTCCTACCAGACATGATCAGCTCTGGCAAGGGCCACATTGTGACGGTGGGCTCGGTAGCTGGGCTGCTCGGCACCTACCGCTGCACAGACTACAGCGCTACCAAGTTCGCCACCGTCGGCTTCCATGAGAGCCTGTTCACGGAGTTGAGGGTATGAATGATTGCAAAACCTTATTAGATAGTTACCTACTTTACGTGGTTGCCGCACATCAAGTATCATTGTGTGTAAAAACGATTTAGGTTTTTAAAATTCTTAATTAATTATGTACCTGCTCATTTGATTTTTGTTGTTCGAAATCGTAATGAAGCTAAAAGTTGAACCTTCTCTACCATAACATAACATAACATCACGCCTTTTATCCCCGAAGGGATAGGCAGAGGTGCACATTACGGCACTTAATGCCACAATACAATGTAACACCCACTTTTCACTTTTTATAATGAGTCCCATGTAATAGGGGGTGAGCCTATTGCCATATACCGGGCACATTTCTAGACTCCGTGCTACTACTGAGATTTTTAAAAACCCAATAATACTTTGCCCGACCCGGGAATCGAACCCGAGACCCCTTGCCCGGTAGTCGCACTTGTGACCACTCGGCCAACGAGGCAGTCAGGCAGCCTTCTCTACCAATATACATTTATCTAGTTATATGACGTGTCCAATCTAATAAGTTCCACAGTTCCACTGCAAAACTTAAGACGTGCGTTGGCCCAAGAATAACACTATCAGGGTCAACGTTCTGATTAACCTTTCACTTTTCTCATCCCCAGGCTCACGGACACACAACAATCCATGCAACACTGGTTTGTCCATACTACATAAACACAGGCATGTTCGACGGCGTTACCCCTCGTCTGATGCCCATGCTGGAGCCCGACTACGTAGCCGAAACCATGATCGACTCTATCAGGAAGAACGAGGTCAACTGCATCATGCCCGGATCCGTCAGATACCTTCTACCTCTCAAGTGGTAAGAGACGCTGGATTGTTTTTGTTAAGCAGTTTAGCATGTTTTTAAAGATGTTTGTTCAGTTTTAGAAACTTGTAAAACGCATAGGTAACTGCGAGCACCCTTGAAAATGTTGTTATACTTATGACTATTATTATTTCCAGCCTGCTGCCAGCGAAAATGTGCTGGGACCTAATGCACAGAGTGATGAAGGGGCCACAGTCCATGATGGAGTTCAAAGGAAAACCAAAGGCCGTAGCTAGTTAGACCTTTAGTTTATAGTCGCACAATTTACTTTGTAAATAAGGCACACTATAAAATTTTAAACTATTCGATCAAGGAGATCGACTAATCTAGAGATTAAACAGAAGACTGAACGTGTTTTCAGTAGCATTTTAAGTTAAGTTTTTAGTAAATAAATAATAAAAGATTGGACATAATTTTATATATTTTTTATTTCTTAAAAATATTCCGCAATTACGAATATCACAAACATAAATATCTTGGTAGACTTAGATTTACTATCACACAATCAGAATAAGTCGTAGAAGAAATCGAGGCCTTGCCCCAGCTCCCATATTGCTACTCCCGTACCATACTCCTTGGCCAACTCGAGACGTTTTTGTATTGAATATAAAGTGGGGTAGAATATCTTCTTCGTACCCTGAGATGTTCTGGAACAAAAAAGATCAATATTTATAATTCACAGGATTTCCCGGTTTACGGAGCGCGCGGGGTCTAGTCGAGATCACCGCTTCCGAGAATTCTTAATTTCGTTATAGTAACTTTAGTATTATTTTGATGTAAAAAGTTACAGCATAATTCCACGTTGATGTGGTTCTGGTGATGGTGGGAGAGTATTTAATGGAATACCTCCTGAAACACTAAAATAAAGACATAACATCTGATTATGGCTGAATAGCCGACGGCACGTCGAAATAGGGTATTAAAAAAAAAATCCACGTTTTTAAATATCGCAATAAGAAAATGACGGAATTGGCATCGAGCTTTCTGGACGTAATTTTACTTACCTACGCCAACAGAAGGAAGAAAACATTTACGATAAGCCGCATAATCAAACGTTGATAACAGTATTAATTAAAGGGAAATACACTTTGTATCGCCATGGTTTCGACCGATACTGATAAACATCGTTTGATGCACTGCACAGTAATTTTTATCATCGCGTTTGTATAAAATTAGAATTATCAATTTAGACAAAACCAAAGAAACAAATTAGGATAACGAAATCATGATCTCAGTGGTTTTGCTTTCAATGTATCTATGCCTATACAGCCTATGTTATCCTACATTGTCCATCGACATTATCATTCACACATTGACAGAAAAAAAAATTTGGTTTTTGACAGTTTCCGATTTCATTTAAAAGCTAAGGGGCTAAGCTATGTAGAATTTAACTCATGCTAAATTAAATATTAACATACCTTATCTCCACATAGTTCTCAGCCGTATTATTATTATACGACAAGGCTTGATTGCTCTTTGCATTTTTAAGTAACTCTATGTACTCCGTCCCAACAATGGGACCACCACCATTGGCAGTATAAGAGTTTCCATAGAAATTCAGACCTAGTAAGATCTTCGACCTCTTTGATGGGTTTTCATCATTGTCTATGAGTTTCTCCACACATAACCTAACCCAGTATAGAGGTGCATTTGGCCCTGAAATAAGATAAATAATGTTTTATGTACGTTTTTTAATTTAGAAAATGGTTTATGGTTTAAGAACACCATGAGGCAGAATAGTAAACACCATTTTGAAGCTTGAGAACATTTGAGATAATTTAATACACATTTTTTGCCTGACTTACCTGGCTTTTGTGGATTAGAAAAATCATAGGTCATGACTGAGACCGCCTCTACATAAGGGTAGATATCATTAAATGCTTGGATGAAGAACTCATCAGTGGGATACCCTCGGAAGGGTGGATAGACTAGAATAAGACTTAAATCATCTTCACTCATCTCCAAACCTGAAAACAATGCAAATGATGGAATTATATTTTGTCTTATCAATCATAATATGTGTTAATAAAATTCTCATTAGATAAATAACAAGGTTTGGCCAGTCAATCTTAAAATTAACAGTAATAAAATAAAATCCAATATTTTCCCAATAACATGTAGGTTAACATAATTCATATTACAAGTTTCTTACCAAACTGCTGTATAAACTTGACCGACTTGTCAACATATTTGCCAATCTGTGAGAGTACTTCTAGTACAACCCCATCAAACTTCCATTGTTTGCATGCTTTCTTTATTTCTTCTATTAGAGCCTTCTGTTCTGTGTGGGAGGTGGGCTCCATGAAGAATGCCTTCAAGTCAGATGGCTGCCAGTTCTCGAAGAGTATCCTTGGCAACACTGTAACATAATATTCATAGTATTGTAGTTCATACATTCTGAAGCCATCTTGATTTCTTTTTACATTAAAGTGTTAGTAGTCTAATTTTATTGAATAAAATATCATTTATCATAACAAATAGGATTGAGATCATTTTACTTAACATTCTTTACTTCGATACATTGTTGTAGTATTATTTCCAATAATTTGAAGACCTTCAATTCTATTTAATAAATATTATTTTTTACAAAAAATGGCAACCATTTCATGGATCTTTGTATTTACACAGATGAGTTACATTTAACAGTATAATTTATACAGTTAAATTCTAAAGTTAAAAACTTACATTTGAGATTAGTGGTAGAACCTTTTTGCTTGACTGATTTCATCCAAGCATGGTCAACATCATGCAGCCCAGATATAATGTATATGTTGGGAGATTGACGCTTGATTTGCAGCCAAACTGGGGACACGTAGTTGAACTTAGGAGCCCATGTTTTCGCCACATCATAGCCTTTGTTGTTCCACTGTAAGAAAGTATTTACTACGTTATTTTGTGGTAAGGTTTTGGAACTTTCCTACACAGTAAGTATTAAAATATGTAAATACTATTAGATTTCCTTGAAATACTCACAGGCGTAACGTAACCCAAAACAGCATTCTTGAAGTTGCGTGTTGTCACATCCTGATGGTATGTAGCATGATATTTTATAATATCTTTCACTAAAGGCGATTCATTGACTAGCTTGCGATCTAGAACATTATTTTTCCTCGGTCCCTCTTGTGGTTTTACACCCTTCTGCCCCTTCTTATCGGAGGGTGGCGATAACGTCGCGAAACACACATTTAAAAGAAAAATTATCTGCAAGACAGTTTTAATACATTTCATTGTAAATTATTACTTCACAACAACACTAGTTTTCACACACTATTCGCTGTAAATCAGAATAAAAGATTCTAAGCACTTCAACAACAGTCAACAATTTCGCCGGGTGCAGCGTTAGAGATGTCAAAAACATCAATAATGTTGTTATCGATTTTTCTATTTGACATTTGTGACAACTTAATTTAAATTTATTGTTACACATTGTTTACTAATACCATAACTAGATGATAAATCTACCTATATTAGCAATTAAATTACGAAACATGTAAGCAAATCTATTTGTTACAAGGATAATAGTGGTATTGATACATCGATATTTGTGTCATCTGATATCGATAGAATACTGACGTTCCAAGCAATACCGCCTCTCTAGTAACCACAGATAATGCGGATTCGTACGTGTTTCACACTGATATGATAAGAATATGGATAAGAAACAACTAGGAAAAAATCGTGCCTACATAAACTTCACTTGGTCACCCGTAATGGCGGATAGAACTAGGGATGTAACTTTTAAATCGATATTTTAGAATTGGTTTTAATTGACTTATCAATAAAATATCATTATTTTATGATTCATCTGGATTTAATTTTTATGTAGCTGCTAAACATTACCAACATATAAGCGAAATATATTTAGTAGTTGCTGCGTGCACTGTCACTCCAGTCGATCGTGCCTATACATTCACATCATAACTTTCACGATACTTATGTATCGAAATTCATGAAAAGGATTTTCCATCAACTGGTCAATATTTATATACTTAAGGTTAAGTAATTTTTGAGGGTTGAAAAATAAAACTGTATCAAAGTATTCATAAAATCAAGATTTATAATATACAATATCTTCGTATTTTTCGTAGTGTTTCCCTGTAATGTAATCTGCAAAACCATCTTTCGAGAAGACTCCAGAACTGGTTCCAAGTTCATTTTCATGCACATATCTGGCTAGAGGCTGCAACATAAATAGTATAATTTAACTTACTTGATCCAATTGAACATAGATTTTTCTATAGATTCTATAGGTACTGTACTAAGCTCTGAACGAAAATGTTTGTACATTACAATGATAGTGATAGATAGCGGAGGAAAACAGAAACATATAGGTACAAGAACCCGGTTAGTTATGAACTTAATATAAATGTTAAATAAAATGTTAAGTTTGCACCTCTTCAAAAAATGCTTCCAAAACTAATATAACAAAACACATAATGAATCGTTTACATTATGATTTACCAATAGAGCTTGTAGCGATAGGGCCCCATCACGTAGATTTACTATTAATTTATTGTTCGGTTAAAACATTAATCTTCAAAATAAAGTTAACAAACAAAGATATGTTTCCTTCTAGTATCTATATTTCCCACATTAATTATTTCCAGCCAAGAACTTCTGCGTGGTTCAAGCACAAACTAAAAAGAAAATTTATAATATTATTAAAATTATCGGCAGAGTTCGACACATTCTAATAAATACTCTAAAAATACCCTAAAGTTATATTTCATTTGTTTGTTTCATTTGAATCCGTCGAGCGGCATTTGATAAAAAAATCAATTTTGACAAAAATGCATTTCCCACAATATTATTCCTTATCTCATATTGTACAAAAATTATTCTCTATTGTATTAATTATTTATTACATTACGTAGGTATTGACGATGGTGGAATTTTGTCGATAAAATGAAATTTTTGACGAGTACTTAATGTTTTTTGTATTTTGTCATTATGTCAAATTAATGCACTTTATCATTCAGAATTTAGTATAGTTCTTTGTTCTACTTTTGACGCATTTATTATGTACGATAAAATTATCGATACGGGAACAATCATGTACATCACTATTTTTTAATGAAAATTGTTTTAGACGTATTTCAACTAAAATTAATGAAAATAAGCACTGCATTAGTTAGAAAAGTATTGTATTTAGTCAATTTGCAGCAACCACACTTGAATAGTTTGAAAAACAGAGATATTTTAATGAAAAATAACAGTACTTACCGATGTAATGTTACACCTGCCGGTTTAGTAATATTTTTAGTGCTACATCCAATAACACTGCACCCGGGCATAGTTCTTCTCACTAACCAATAACTTCTTTGTTTACCACGCACAAAAACAACAGGAATACTACAAATTTTCGTAACAAAATATTGTTGACCAATGCTTTGACAGCTGATGTACCACTGAC